TGTATAGAAGCTTGATTGTATTCATGTTCAAAGAGAAGTATTTATACAAAGAATGTAGAGACTTAATCTCCTAAGAATTAGGATCAAACTAGCTAGAGATAAATTTGGAATGTAAACATCATTATCCTAATAGGCCTTGGTAATATCTTAATATCTTTGAGAGGTTTTAGGTTAAGAGAGTACCAAGAATGAGTTTCTTGAAGACGAACTCTCAAAGCGACGTAAAGAACATTTTCAGTGGCTTGGAGAAGTGAACGTACGAGGTAAAGATCAGGGGAAGTGATGAAACCACCGATGGTTTTGGAGACAAGAGATAGTGCTGGATAGTAACGTCTTGGAACTAAGGCGAAACAGTTCATAGAGATTTCATTTGGTAGTGGAAGAGCCGAAGATAACGAAGAGGAATCATCGGAATCGGAACTTTCTGTGGGAAAAGACATATTGCCGTGTGTATGAAGGTATCAACTCGTTACTCGAGTCTAGTTTATATACTAACTTTTGGAAGAAGAGATCGTGACCGTTCGGTTTTCACATTTTGGCTGGTTTAAGGACTTAATGATGGTCGTTTTAGCTTTTATGGGTTTTTATTGGATGTTCAATAACGTTTCGACTTTCGAGTGTGTATAATCGTTAATCACATTAGTTGTTAAGGTAGTGGGGTGATGAATTCGGATAATTTGAACCGTTGTGGTCTAAACAAAACCGGAATATATTGATGTGAAGTATAACCAAAGAATTCTACTTTTGTAATATTTGAAAAATTGAAAACACCAAGAGCAAAACTTAATTAAGATTTATCATACTGAAGCTGATATGAAATCTACCCAGTCTTAATTTTTATATATAAAAAAATGATTTTTTCTAATATTCAATAATAATCAAACCAAATTTTAGATTCTCTCGATTTATAAGTTAAAACAGAACCTTAACCGAAACTAAAATGTACTAACTTAATTCGTTTCACTTTAATTGTGGTCACTCACTCCTAGTTAGTGGATAATAATAATTACATTTAACACTAGAAACGTAATAACGCAAATCACGGGATATGAGATATTGCACATTATTGTCATAATGTCATAACTAATGACAAAATAAATAAATAACATTATTCCATTTTTTTGTGCAAATGATTTTGTGCACATTATCCTTCGTCGTCGTCGGTCTGTTTGTGATAGTGTTTTCTTTTTCTTTTGCAATGTAACTCAACCAGACGATTTTTTTTATAAAAAAAAAAAAAACTCAACACAACAAGGCGATAAAAATCAGATTGTATTCAAACATCATTTGCATGATCAGTCAAATAATGTTACAAATGATTTTTACAACTAAATTTTTACATATACAGAAATATAACAGTTTACCATTTTAGCAAAAAAAATAACAGTTTACCATACAAAATCAATTTGCGCAACTTGTTGAACCGCATTATGCAGTAACCGATAAGAATTGCCACATCTTTTTTTTAGTGTCGTCACTAGTAGATTAATTGGGCCGAAAGTTTAATACTTTCCCCAATCAATCTATATAAGCCCAATCTTTAGGCCCAATAATTACCACATAAAGCCGCCGACGACGAAGGATAAAAGTGTCATTTACCGAATAAAGATATTTTAATGCAGATATTTTTTGCCCGAAACGAGGAGAAAAAAAAAATCTTTTGTTTTCCCAAAATCATCACATGATGTGTGGGCCTATCCACTAAACCCAATTTAACCCACACATCTTAATCAGAGTTTAAACACACGAATATTTCATCAAACCCTAGAAAAAAACATCTTAACCCTAGTTAATCACGTCACCTTCTTCTATAAATTAAGGTTCCGTCTTATCACCACAAATCACACAAGTCTCTCTCTCTCTCCACTTCCTCGAAACCCTAATTTTTTTTCCTCTAAAAAAAAAATGTCTTCAGAAGTTGAGTACCGGTGCTTTGTCGGCGGTCTAGCTTGGGCCACCGACGATCAAGCTCTTGAGAACACTTTTCGTCAGTTTGGTGAAGTTATCGATTCTAAGGTCCGTTACACGAGAGATCGGTCTCCCGGATCACGGATTCAATCGAGCCGATTCCGACGGATCTCTGTTTTTCCGATCTGTGTTTCTTGATTCGATTACTCTGTTACTATATCGTTCTTTGTTACTTGTTAAATTTTTCTCCATCGGTACGTTTAATCTTCCTGCTTTTTATAAGCCCGGAGAACGATCGATTTAATCGCTTTTGTTGATGGTTTTTGATTCGATTGTTTTGTGCTGATTTTGTGGTTTTTGTTTTGATAGATTATCAACGATCGTGAGACTGGAAGATCAAGGGGATTTGGATTCGTTACTTTCAAGGATGAGAAATCAATGAGAGATGCGATTGAAGAGATGAACGGAAAAGAGCTTGATGGCCGTAGCATCACTGTTAACGAGGCTCAGTCGAGA